TCAAACAGCGAGACGAGGTACGCCTCAGACGCCTCCTGCAGCGCCATCACCGCCGACGACTGGAACCGGAGGTCCGTCTAGAAACAAAGTCAGAGTCAGCACGAGTCAACTGACAGTCATAGGGACTGTGGACTGAACCTTGAAGTCCTGCGCGATCTCGCGCACCAGCCGCTGGAATGGCAGCTTGCGGATAAGCAGCTCCGTCGATTTCTGGTACCGCCGGATCTCACGCAGCGCGACCGTTCCCGGACGGAAGCGATGCGGCTTCTTCACGCCGCCCGTCGTTGCCGCCGCCGTCTTGCGCGCCTGCGACTTGGCTGCGAGCTGCTTGCGCGGGGCTTTGCCTGTAAGAGCGGGTGAAGTGAGCTCCGCGTCCGAGAAACGAAGGCAGAGAAGACTTACCACCGGTGGATTTGCGCGCGGTCTGCTTGGTACGGGCCATTTCAGATTATGTGAAAGGTTGGTGGTTTGGTTGTTTGGTTGGCGGTGGTAACGGGCGTTGGTCGAAAGTGGGTAAGCCAAAGCAAGAGACACCTGCCAGTTATATACCCCGGCCGACTTGGTCACGTGCATTGTGGTGTTCTGTTGTGTTGCACTCGGATACACGAAATGTTGCACAGCCACCTGCTTACGCTCAGCTCCTATATAAGGACGGCCCTCTTTGGACTGCTGGCTTCCCACTCACTCTTACCGCCCACTTGACCACTCGCTCCTCGCAGCCCGCAAAACACACTTGACACTTAACCACCACCACCACTCTCTACAATACCATGTCTGGACGCGGAAAGGGCGGAAAGGGACTCGGAAAGGGCGGTGCGAAGCGTCACCGCAAGATTTTGCGCGACAACATCCAGGGTTCGTTTGCGTTCTGCGCACTGCGCTCGACTTGATTGCTGACTTTGCTGTTCGTCGCCAGGTATCACCAAGCCCGCCATTCGTCGTCTTGCCCGCCGTGGTGGTGTGAAGCGTATCTCGGGCCTCATCTATGAGGAGACCCGCGGCGTGCTCAAGATCTTCCTTGAGAACGTGCGTTGTCCATCTGTCTTCTGACTGCGGACTCGTATCTGATTCATTTTCGTTGCTGTGCAGGTTATCCGTGACTCCGTCACCTACACCGAACACGCGAAGCGCAAGACCGTTACCGCGCTCGACGTCGTGTACGCGCTCAAGCGCTCCGGCCGCACACTCTACGGCTTCGGCGCATAGACTCCTCTTTCTTCTTCGTGCTTATCATCTGTTCCTTCTCGCCATCTGTACTTCTTTTGTATCCACTACTGCATAATATCTTATTTCCCGCGACGAAGTCGCCTGGCTACTTTGCGATCTGGTGTGAGCGTGAACTGTTGTTGTGTCTTGTACGTGATACAATGCGTGCATGTGGTCTAAGCAAGTAAGCAGATGATGATATGTGGCTAAGAGTTGAACAATAAAATTTACGAGCTAATTTTTCCAACTATGGCGGAGAATAATCAGAGCCAGCTTGCTTGGCCAAAGAGGAGAGGACACTCACATCTTCACCAGGCGATCGCGACCGCCGCTCACGAGCTTGTCCGCGACAAAGTCCACGCAATACACCTCGTCCGTGTGGCCTGGCAGGTCCGTTTTTATTTTGTACGTCTTGAGATCCCAGACCTTCAGCGTACTGTCCTTGCTCGCGCTCACGAGGAGCCGCGAGTCCGCCGACCACGTGAGGCGGTAGACAGCGCCGACGTGCCCGCGGAGCGTCGCGACGAACCTGCATTTGCAACTCATCCAATCAGCTTTCCGGCCAGCAGTGACGTGAGGGGGGGGGAGGGAAGAAGAACGCGACTCACTTGCCCGTCCGCCCGTCCCACACGCGCACGCTGCTGTCCCAGCTCGCGCTCGCGGCCCAGCGGCCGTCCGGGCTGAACGCGACGTGCGCGACCTGCTTCTGGTGCCCCGTCAGCCGGCCGATCGGCTTGAGCTTCCCGCCGCGCTCGGTGGCCTCGTCCCTCGCCTGCTCCGAGAGCGCGGACGAGCCCGTGCGCGAGGGGAAGAGCGACCAGAGGAAGAGCGTGTGGTCGTCCGAGCCGGAGACGAGCAGCTCGGGCGACGTGGAGAGGACGGCGTTGTATCGCGCGAGCGCGAGGGATTGCGCTGGGGAGAGATGGATGTGAGACGGGAGAAGACACAAGGGGAGGGTGAATTTTATTTACCTTCTTCATCTGAAGACGGCTTTTTTGAGGTATGGTCATACGGCCCAGTGCGCAATACGAAGTCGGTATTGAGCGCCAGCGTCGTCACCCAATGCGCGTGGTCTTTTAAAGTGTGTAACAGCTTTCCCTGGACGTAACTCAGGGGTAAGTGAAAACTGGCATCCAGAAGATTTGATTAAAACGTACCCCGTTTGGATCCCACACCTTCACCGTCCGATCGCTCGACGCCGTGAACAGTGCGCCCTTCCCACCAACCCCGCCTCCGCCCCACTTCACGCAATTTACGCTCGCCGCGTGGCCCCCAAGGCAGTACTCCACACGCCTCGTCGCCGGATTCCACACGCGCACCGTCCCGTCCTTCGACGCGCTCGCGAGGCGCGGGTTCGCCGCGTCGAGGTGTATCGGCTCCCACGCGAGGCTGGTCACCCACTTCGCGTGGCCGCGCATCGCGTCGCCGACGGGCGCGCCCGTCGCGGGGTCCCACAGGCGCACGTGGCCGTCGTGCCCGCCCGTCGCGAGGCGGCGCGCGCGGCCCTCCCACTCGAGGCAGAGCACCCAGCCGCGGTGGCCCGCGAGTGTGTGGCTCGGCGTCTCCGACGCGAGGTCCCACAGGCGCGCGGTGCAGTCGCCGGAGCCCGTCGCGAGGTGCGCGCCCGTCGGGGAGAACGCGGCGCAGAGGATGGGCGCGCTGTGCCCCGAGAGCGAGGACGAGCAGCGCGTCGCGGGGCGCACCTTGAAGACGGCCTGCGGGGAGCAGTAGACCGTGAACTTGTCTTCGGCGGTGAAGTCGTAGTTTGGGTTGGAGAGGACGTCGGCGTCGATGGATTTCGAGATGGTCACGCGCGTTGGTGCGCTCGACGGGCCGTCTTTAGGCGGAGGTAGGGCAATGTAGAACGAGAACGGAGTGGGATCTCCATCCTGTAAATTTTTGTTTTACAAAATTAGAAAATCGAACAAAGTTTTAGGGAAAAGGCTCGACACACCTTCGTTGATAATCTGTTGACGAGCAGTTCCAGGTCTTCTCTGCTCACGTTAGCAGGAAGCTGCACGGCGGGAGCGAGGCTTTTGCCGTCGTCCTCTGCAACAAATTGGACGACGATGTTCGGCACGGGTGCAGGCGCAATCTTCGCTGGTTCCGGTATGCCATGATAAAGCTTTGCGCGTTTCGGGGGCGGCAGGAGTGCCGCCATTGTCAGCAGCGAGCGGTGAGCGGAGAGCGGAGCAGTCAGCGCCCGACTCGCACTTGTTCTGCAAATTTCGATCAATGTACAAAAAAGGCAACCACGCATACACACTGCTACACGCGCGCGTTTACTCCCCCGAGGGCCCGAGCCTTGTCTTGCGTTATAAAAGAGACCATGGACTGCTTTAAATGCTTGACCAGAACGCGACTGTGCCCATCCTGCCTCCTCTGCTCCGCTCCGTCTTGAACGCCTCTCGCTCTCGCGTCAGCTCCTCAAAAGCTCTCAGCTCGTCTCTATCCACATCCACCGACAACATGGTCATGAAGATAATCCCCCGCAAGAGCACCGAGCGAGGCAACGCAGACCATTCATGGCTCAGGTCCTTCCACACTTTCTCCTTTGCATCGTAAGTGGTGCTAGTCGCAACTGTGAACCACTAAGTAATTGACTACCCCATCCATACGTAGGTACCAAGACGACAAGCACGAGCAGTTCGGTGCTCTTCGCGTGATCAATGAGGACCGCGTCGAGCCACGCACGGGCTTCGGCACACACGGGCACCGTGAATTCGAGATTTTCTCATACGTCGTGAGCGGCGAGCTCGAGCAGTAAGCCCACCGTCCTTTTTTCGCGGAGCATATAATATGTAGTAACTCTCCTGTCTCCGCCCTTCCCCCGCATCAGTCGCGACTCGATGGGAAATATGGAGGTTCTCAAGCGCGGCGATGTCCAGCTCACGTCCGCGGGCACAGGCATCCGGCACAGCGAGAAAGCCCACGGCCCCACGCAAGTCCATTTCCTGCAGATTTGGACGCAGCCTTGGAAGAACGGGCTCGCCCCCAAGTACTTCACTCGGTACGCCGAGTTCATGCGGTCTTCCAAAGCCCCTCTTTATTTACACGTACTCACAGACACTTCACCGACGAGGAGAAGAAAGACAAGTGGGCGCACGTCGTCGCCCCCACTACCTCCCCGAGCGTGATCCCCGAGCGCGAAGGCGCGGGGCCCGCGCCTGTGCAGTCCCCCGTGTCGCTTTATGCGACGCTCCTCTCCCCCTCCACTTCGCTTGCCCACACATTTCCCAGCACATCAGCAGCAGGCGAAGCTGCCGCCGCGTCCGCGTCCGCACAGCGCAAGGCGTACATGCACGTCGTGCAGACGTCGGGCTACAACCCGAAGGCGGCAAACGGTGCGTCCGTGAAAATCTCCGCTGAGGGCGCGGAGCTTGTCCTTAGGGAAGGGGATGGAGCGTATATTTATGGCGAGGCCGGAAGGGATTTGTCGGTTGAGAACGTCGGGGACCGGGTTGCGGAGGTCCTGCTTTTCGACGTCGAATAGAGGCGATTCTAGCACTCGCTTGCGGCTTCCATTTGTACGATTCTGAGTCTCACTCATACATATGTATTGTACTTACTTTTGCCTAATCGTTGTACGATTTCATTCATGTACCCAACATATACATACATATCTTTTTTTTTGTCTTTCTCCTCACGAGCGCTAAACTTCGGACATGACACGTCTAACCTATTCGTCCCAAAGCACAAGAAGAGCATCATGTTTCGGCGTATACTAGTGAATCAGTACATATCGGTCTGGAAAACGGCATCGTAATATGAAAAAGACATAAATTATTCCTTTACGACACCGGCAGGATTCGAACCTACGCCCTCAAAGAGGAACAGATAGCCAGAGAATACATCCAAGATTCGAATCTGTCGCAGTAACCACTTTGCTACGGTGTCATTGCGGTAATTGTCAATGAATCTCCCCCTGTGGACTGGCAAAATTTGAGTTTGGTGGAAATGATAGGTTTACAGTGTTTACACTGACAGCTGTTTGACAGTCGCGGGTCAGATTGAAATGAAATGCAGTCGCGGGCCAGACCGAAATGAAGTTTGTTATTTCTGCGAACCGAGATCGTGTCGTCCGTTACAGTGAGATCGCTAGCCTTGTTTCCAGTAACAAGAAATTAAAGGCCAATTTGTGCGAGACTTATGTATCATGTCAAAGAGGAAGACTCAAAAGACACGCTTGTGCCTCAAGTAAGCCGAGATATGCCTGGTGCGGATTTCTCACCACTCAAGGGGGCGATCGATGCTTATGAAGTATAGTAGACACTGGAGCATTTGTTGACGAAATACTCGAGACCGAAAGGTCAAGCACGTAAGACATCGTGACTCTCCAAAGCAAGGCACTCGAGCGTGTGGAAGCGAGCGAATATCGACAGGGTGGCAGGGGGGAAAGTCTTACTTTGCGCTGAGCCAGACTAGTAGGAACAGCGGCGAGGAGGGGGATCAGACCAAGATGCCATACACATATGTCATGTCATTGCAGAACGAGTAGATAAAGAAAAGGAATAATGCAGCATGTAACATGGACACAGGCGGTAGGCTATAGGGAGATCAAATCGTCGAGGGGTACAGCATCTGGAAGATTCAGGGAAATTTTATATGAACAATCTGCTTGAACGCTGTGAAGAGCGAAAAATGAACGCACCACACGGACGGAAGCGCCGAAAACGTGCGGGGGCAGGTTCGACCTGAATTTTGACTTGACAACGCCAGAGTTGCCGTGCGAGCGGGTCACGCGCCTATACAATTCAGAAGCATCAGCACCAAAACATCTCGAAATCGCTGAACACAGTTAGATCGCTGCTGCAAGTACTGACCCCCAGATGACGCGGACCTTGGAGCCGTTGACCTCGCGCTTTGCGCGGTAGACGTAGGCCACACGTTTTCCGAGATAGAACTGCGCCTCCTCCTTGTTGGTGACGCCCTCGATTTCGACGAGGGAGGTGTTCGGGCGGGTGTTGCGCTTGCCGCGCTTGTGCGAGAGGACGCGGCCCTTGGAGTACAGTCTGCGAAGAGAGTGCAGTGGTTAGTGCTGAGAACTCACGAACGATAAGTCGGTTCTAAGCCAGCCAGCTGCTCGACGACATCCGTCCACGCTCCACGCCCAAGCCGTATCATCCGCTGTCCGTCCGTGCCATCCACCACCATATCCGCCATCCATCTTTTCCTCGACCTCTGACCGCTCCTTCTCATCCAAACTGACATCGAGCAGCCCAGCAGCGTTGCAAACGACGACAGATGCTCACCTTGAGGAGCCCATTTAGTCTTGCTGGTTTGTCGATTTCACCCGCCGTGGTCAGTTTGGTGGTCCTTCGATCTTGCTTGGTTGGACCCTGAATCACCCAAACACTGCTAAACAAGTGTCGTTTTCGATTCGCGCTTACGCCAAAACTTGTTATACAGTTTGAAATCAATGGGTTTGAGCAAAGGCCAACAGACGAATATCGGCTGGAATATACATAAACGAGGTGGTTAGACCCACATTTAAATCGAAAAAGTAGAGGCTGGGAATGAAAGAGAGCACTGATTGAAAGTATGGTGCCGACGGCACTTTCCGTGGTGCGAGAATAAAAATCAAGCCAGGCGTTTTCGTTGTCGGTTGACCAGCGACGCAGTCATCGGGCTGCACTCGGACGTCCTCGTCGACGACTGGCCGAGTAACGGAGCGCTGGCAGAGCAATTCCCGGTCCTTGGTCTGCTTTATTATTTTCTAAATATCTTTATGTTTACCGCTGTATTGTCGGTGCTCGTATTCCAAGGACACATCTAATATATCTCTTCTCGAACTTTGTGCCATTGGCGTGCGCCCGCATCTGCATTCTCTGCATTGGTTTCCTGTGCCCTGTGCCTACAAAAGCAAATCGCAATCATGCTAAAAGGTCTATCTAGTCAGATTTCTCTTTCTGCTGCCATCGCCATGCCTCGCTGTCGCATCAGTGTTCCGCCCTTCGCCCGGATGTCCTCGACGTCTGCTGCAAGTCTCCAGTTTTCGATGAAGTCTCTCCCCCCAAAGCACATCACCATCAGCCCATCCCAGCCTCCGCTTTCCCGCGGGGTTTCATCCTTGGCGGCACGCACGCCGGCGTCAAGAAAAACGCGTCCATTCCCGACCTCGCGCTCGCCGTGTCGACGTCCGCACGCCCGACGGCAGCCGCAGGCGTCTTCACGCGCAATGCCGTCGCCGCCGCGCCTGTGCTCGTCAGCGCGCAGGTGCTCGCGGAGGGCAAGGGCCATGTGCGCGGCGTCGTCGTCAACAGCGGCTGTGCGAACGCGGTGACGGGCAAACGGGGACTCGAGGATGCGTGGAAGATGGTGCGCGCCGCGGACGACGTCTTGGCTGCTCTAGATGGCAATGGCAAAAGAGTCGCAGGGAGCGAGAGTCTCGTGATGAGTACGGGCGTCATCGGACAGACGCTTCCCATCGACAATATCCTGCGCGGCATTTCGTCGCTCTCCACAAAAAGCCCGTCAGCCGAAGACGAGAATGCACCGCTCGGCAGCACCTTCGCGCACTGGGAGCGCGCGGCGCGCGCCTTCATGACGACGGACACCTTCCCGAAGCTGCGTGCACGCACGTTTCGCGTCGGCTCGCGCGAATACCGGCTCGGCGGCATGAGCAAGGGCGCAGGGATGATCCACCCGGACATGGGTGGGCTCGCGCCGAAGGCCGAGCTGCACGCGACGCTCCTCTCGCTGATCCTCACCGACGCGCCCGTTGCGCCCGCAGCGCTGCAGCGTGCGCTGGAGTACGCGACCGCGCGCTCGTTCAACTCGATCTCCGTCGACGGCGACATGAGCACCAACGATACTGTGCTCGTGCTCGCCAACGGCGCTGCTGTCCCCGCAGCGTCCGCAGACGCGATCGAGATCGACGACACGCGCTCCCCGGTGGCATACGGGCAGTTCCGGGACGCGCTGACGGGCTTCGCCGCCGAGCTCGCGCAGCTCGTGGTGCGCGACGGCGAGGGCGCGACCAAGTTCGTCACCGTCACTGTCGATGTAAGCGTTTTTTTCAAACTAAATTGTTGGTTCAGTACTGAGCGCCGTCGCTCGCTTTCCACAGGGCGCGAAAACGTATGAAGACGCGCACGCCGTAGCTTCACGCATCTCCACGTCTGCCCTTGTCAAAACCGCGCTTTACGGCGAAGACGCAAAGTGCGCTCTGGCTCCTCGATCTCCTTCACTTCCTTTACTTATTCTCACAATTTTGTTTCTAGCTGGGGCCGCATCCTTGCTGCGACAGGCTCGCTATCATCGCTTTCCACGCCGCTAGACCCCGAGCGCATATCCGTCTCGTTCGTCCCCACGGACGGCTCCGCGGCGCTCCCGCTGCTCGTCGCCGGCGAGCCGTGCGGTGTCGACGAGGTACGCGCGAAGGAGATTCTCAGCGGCGAGGACCTCGAGATCCGCGTCGAGCTCGGCCTCGGCAAAGAGAGCGCACGCTATTGGACATGCGATTTCAGCTATGTGCGTCTAACCTACCTTTATACCGGAAACGTAACCATGCTTACCCGCCTTTTCTTACCCTTCATCTCAGGAATATGTCAAGATCAACGGAGACTATCGCAGTTGAGAGACTCTCTAAAAGCAGCAGCGCATAAAAATACATTCGTCGCACAATTGTAAATGTACAATAAATCGATCTTCTACTCGGAAAATAGGGAAGCAGGTAAAAAGGACTGTAGGCTGAGCGAGTCATTAGAGATAGGTGTTCTTTGTGAGGGCGAGTCTGGTCTCACGCGCGTAGAATAAGTAGATGCAGAAAGAAGAGGGAAGAAAAAAAAACTGAAAGTGAGAAGTGGAGGCCACTATTGTAATGTGCTGTTGGCGAGAGAAGAAAAAGTTAATGAGAAGAGTATTTGCATGCGCTAGTCCAAATTTCTATGTGCTTCACGCATCCTTTATCTCCTTTCGAATCTCGTCGAGTCCCTCGTCGCGCGTCCAGAAGCCCGTCGCGTCCTCGGGGTCACTATTTCCCAAATCCGCGTTCGCAGACTCGCCCTCCGCACCACCCTCGCTCTCAACGATTTCCCGCCCGACCTCACCCAGGCGGCCTTCCGCGTCCTCTACGCCAAGACTGCGCAGGTACCACGCCTTCACCGCGCGTTCCGCCTCCTCCTCCTGCGCCGCCGCGCGGCTCCCGCGCCACACCGCGCGCTCGAGCACGTGCCGCACGAGCAGCCGCGCGAGCAGGTGCGCGTGAGACGCGCCGAGGGCGAGCAGCAGCGCGGGGAGGACGAGCGAGCTGTAGTTGTAGCTCGACGAGAAAGTGGTTGTGGACGTGAGGCTGAAGGGCTCGGTGGTGGAAGTGGGTGCGGGACACGAAGCGTTAAGCGGGTGATCAGAGGTATTGATAGCTGTGCCGCCCGCTGTTGAGGAAGGGAAGCTGGTGGGTCGGAAGAGATAGACAAGCGCCGAGTTCGTGAGTGCGGAGAGCCACGCGATGAAGCTCTGACCAAGCGAGGAAGGGAATAATACTTTTTAATAGTATGCGACTTCGCCAGATAGAATCAATAATGACTGACCAGTGTATCGACCCATGGCCCAATAGTTTCTGTGCGAAAAGGTATTGGCCTCCTACAATGAGTCGTAATCTTGAAAGCGTCGCTGCGCAGTTCAAGCCAGTTATTTAGAAAGGCCATAACTATCATAAAGAACGGTTCATCAAAAGCACTTCCCGAGGGCATGTCAGGGCACTTACCAGGTGCCAACGGCCAGATGGTACTCCACAGCGCAACGTACCCAAACTGAGTGACCATTTCGCTATAGTCCCCAAATAGAGTGTAGTCGGGCAGAGCGACCTCATGGCGCACGCTTGCCAAGAACTCGCGCTCCTCCTTTTCGCCGCTTTCCTCGTCCTCGAACACCACACGCTTTCCGTTCTTCTTCGG